TATGGTTTCTATTAGCTAGACTAAAGTTCAGCCTAGGGCTGTGATGGCAAACCTATGGCACAGATGGCACATGGAGCCTTCTCTGCGGTCACCCAAGCCATTGCCCCAACTCAGCTCCACCATGCATATGCATACACTTATGCCTCCTGCCGACCACCTGATTATTGGGGCTCTGCCATGCATGAGCAGGAGTGGGGCACAGGCGGGAAACATGCAAGCATGTGCGGGGGTCATGCATGCATACGCAGGGGCATGAGGGAGTTTTTGGTCCCAGGAGGCTTCAAAACGGGCTATGGGAGTGTGTGTCCCCCCCACACTGTGTTTTGGTCCTAGGAGGCTGCAGGGAGGCCTTCTAGGCTCAAAACAGGCCATGGGGGATATGCATGCATGTGTAGGGAGAGGGGAGAGGGGGGAAGTGCAGAGGGTCATACACACATGCACAAGGGGTGGGGCACATAGGGGGTGTCGCACATGCACTGCATTATGGGTGTGGGAACACGGATTGTGAGCTTTCGGCACACAACAACCAAAAGGTTAGCCATCACTGGACTAGGGATTTCAAGTAGTAACAGATTTATCCTTGATGGCATTTCTCTCTAGTCCCTGTCTAGTAATTGTGATTAAGGCATACAGGCAAAGAAATACCAAATTCATAAAACTATTTCTTTCTTATAAACATTTTAAAAGTCTGACTCTGTATGATTACTTTGCCTCTCATTTGTTTCCATTAGATTTCAAAGAATTAGAAAACAAACAGTTTACAAAACCTTTTCAGTGACTCAAAATTTTACATAGCAAAGATACTAGCAAAACAATGTATTTATTCATGTCTGACCCCAAACAATCACCACTTTACTCAGACCATGTGAATTTATGGAATTTATAAATTCTTGGAATGAAGCAAGCAAGTGCTTAACAATGGAAAATTTATACTACTGAGTAAACAATTGTCAAATATGGAAAGCTGCAAATACAGTACATTCAAATAAGAAGTTCTTAATATTTCAGTCTGACATTGTGGGATAGTTTCTAAATTAACATTTTTATGTTTTTAAATATGCTTTTCTTGTCAAGATTTTGTCCAGCATAGGCATGTTTTTCCCACCAGTCTGATTTGGAATGGGCAGAACTATTATTTTTCAGAATATTGTATGACAGATAAAATATGAATACCTCTTCTTTCGAAGATTTAGCTTTATATATCATTTATCAATATTAACAATTATCAGAGTAAACTGAGAAAAAGGCTGATGATATTTAGCCTTCTCTCTCTAAGATAGCTGCAAACTGGACACATATAATTGGCTAATGTCAAGGCCCAGGACTCAGACTATGACTCTGAAGAAGCTGCTCCAAATGAACAAATGAAATGTCAGACACAAAGCCAGCAGTCAAACTGGCTGATCAAACACAGGCACTTATTAGAACACTTGAACTAGTCAGATTATGATGTATGGGCTCCAAGCTCTCCTGCAAATACAGTGCAGAGCACAGCAAAGGTGCTTGGTGCTGCTCCTTGCCAAGCAAGGAAGTAGATCTACAGCTGATGGTAGCCTGCTTTAAGAGTCAGCCCCGACTCATGTTCCTCAATTGGATTTTCTGATTTCCTGCTCTGGCGTGTTATTACTGTGAATCACGCTCATGAAACTCTGACCCTGGATTGGCTAAGAAATCTGAGTTATCTCTCTGAATTTTGGCATAGATTTTGACTATTTTTCTGTGGGCTTCTGTTGACAGCAAAACCACCCAGGCAAGCTTTCTTTCCAAGAAACTTTACATTTCTTCCCTTGTCTATTATTTGCTCTGCCTTGATTAAATTGTTTTCTTCACCTAGTAGCTGTGTGTGAGAGTGTGAGATCTGAAATGGGACAGCTACAGTTTATGTGAGTTATGGTTTTCATTAACACCTTCCTAACCTTGGGCCATGATATTGTCATAACTGATACCAATAGAATTATTTTTTATACCTAAAACATCAAGTATCTCATAGCTAGTACATTTCATTAGCTTTGTTTCTTTTCTGATTGGTAACCAGTACTTTTTTTTTTTCAAAACCTACTACACCCATCAATCTATGGCCACTTTTAACTTTTAGCTCTGTTTTGCTCATAATATACTAATTAGAGGTAGAAGGTGTTTCTAGAAGCAGCATTTTCCTATAGTTCAGAGATGGACCAATGTTGTATTTCCTTTATATAAAATATAGGCAAGATGTAGCCCTTCAGATGTTACTAGACAACTATTTTCATGATTAATGCTGGCTGTGTTGGCCAGTACTGGTGAGATCTGATATGTTTTTTAAAAAAGTCATGCTGACTTTTGGAATTTGAAGAAATATAACAATATGATACAGTTGCAATACAAAGAATTCCAGACTACTTTATTCCAGCTCTTAGGCCTTGCTTGTACAATGAAGATTTAGAGATTATTGTAGGTCATTAGATTAAACTGATTTAACAAGCTCCTAACTATGCAAACAAGAAATTTCAGAATACTTTTTACTACATCCCCTTCCTGACTTATCTAAAGAATGTAAGTCTCCCATATGCAATTGTACATTCTATTCACAACAGATAATCTGTGGATAATATCATCCCTTGATGCCATAATGAAAGCAAGATGAAGAAAAAAATCCCTATCAAAATTATTTTTCAGTTGATTTTCAGCTCCATTTTAGTTGTGGCAAAATGAGTTTTAAAATATACTCAATTTTACAACTGTGCACTGGACATGAAGAGGAAAAGGTACTTCGGTGCATGAAAAGCATGAATGTTGCCTTGATTGCAATTTCTTACATACAAAATGATTTTTAGCTAGGACAGCTGCATGTTCCTTATACAAGATACAGAATGGTACATTCACAGCCCTGCCTGCTGCAATTTATGCTTGCCTTCAATTCTTTAAAGGAATTTCACCTAATGTAAATAGTGCAAAGCGTATTTCTAGGGGTACAACCATTTCAAAGTAAATAATCTATATGTAATACATTGACATGATTTATAAACATCAGATTTCAGAAGGAGCAATGAAATGAAATTGCTCAGTGAAATACATATCAAACTTATCAAAATTCTATATTTACCATTTATTTATATTCACAGTATCACCTGTGCCATTTAACCATTTAACACTGGCACTTTGATCCACTCATTCCTATTTTCACGTTGATATTTTCTTTCAAAATATTCAAATTTTTGCAGACTGCTTCTACGGTTTATTTCCCAGAAGCTACCATTTCTTTGAACTCAGTAGTGATCATGTCTAAGAAAGAAACATCTCTTTTGTCTGTGAGAATGGTTTCAAATGTATAGTTTCTGTTTTCCAAAGGCAAAAAAAAGTCTGCAGAGGAGAGAGGATAACAAGAAAATCTAGGTTCTTAATCATAGAAGCTCACTGAGTGATGTTGCTCAGCCCAGCCTACCTCATTGGATTGTGTGGATTGGAAAAAAAAGTAGAAAATATCATGTTCTTTGGCAAATACATAGCCTAGAAATAAATGCCACATGGAAGGAAATATTTGAACATTGTTATTATTGTTACTTACATGATACGTAGCTATGAATGACAATATAGTTTTAAATAATTGAAGTTACCAGTTTTAAAATGAAACTGCAAAGCTATATCCCACATTTCTACTGCTATGTTGCCACTTGCAGCATTATGTTCCTTCTGCAATCACTGATTATAGAACACATGTCAACTCTATGAATATGTGAACACATATTCCTTAATTATATTATGCATTATAAGCCAATAAAATATACTACAATATAAATGCATGCTCATCAAGTAGCAGTTATGTTTGGGGAAAAAATACTTTGATAGTGCTGATGCAAAGGAAGCCCAGTGAAAGGCGGACAAGAATTTTACTTATCTGGTTAATATTCACACAATATGGGGGGGAAACATGAAAAACAAAATGATGAGGAACAAAATGGACGGGAGGGGACTGAAGTAGCTTAAAGAAAGAAATGACTTCTACTTCAGTTTTGTTTCAGCAGAATATTGGAATAAGGAGTTGTGTTTGTAGAAAGAAATTGCTACATAAGTTGCTTCAAGTAACCATGTTTCTATATATCTGATTTGCATGTGTCTTTCTTTGGACTTCACCCAAACTGAAACTTGAAGTGATTAAGAGGCAATTTGTGCAGTATATATATTCAGTCTTGCAATAAGAGCTCCTTTGGATCAACCCCAAATAGAAGCATCTGATGCCTTCTGTTACCTTTTGGAGAAGCTCTTATTACACTTTCCACTGAAAGCTGGAAGGGGAATTCAGACTAACGTAAATGAGATTTATTCTGTTAACACTTAAGTGCCAAGTGTTCTGGATGAGGCAATATGAGATACTTATGTATAGGAAGGAGAAGATGTACAACAAGAAATTTGCAGCCAGTTCTGATATTTTCTAAGTATGATGAAACCACTGGTGTTTATTTATGACACAGCTATTGATTCCCTCCAGAATGAAAACATCAGAATTACTACACATTCATGTCTTCTAAAACATGGAAATCTCCAAGCATTATACATTTCAATTATACCCTTATTTTAAATGGCATCTTCATAGTGTTCACATATAATTTTGTTGATCAATCAGATTTATTTGAAATCACAACACATAAACAGATTCAACCATAATTTCAAGTGAGAAACTGAGCATCTTTTCCAAGGTAAAATAATAATGGCAAGATATAAATCCAGAAAACTAGAAAATCCCAAAAGCTTGACATTTAGACAAACTAACCCTCAATAGACACATAGTGATAAACCACATTTACATACCACTCAAGGGGGGGGAACCAAAAGAAAACAACACATCCTTTCCAGTAGTCAACACCCAGAAAAGTAGGGATTAACACCAGATGAATGACCAGAAAACAATACCCTAATCAAGGAACTACCAAGGAGAAAACCACATCCCTACCAAAACTGGCAAGGCAAGCTACTATGTATAAACAGAGAGTAAACTCCATGCTAATTAGCACTAATAATGTTACCCAATTGGATAGATCTGCAAGCAAACAAGAAGCTCAGAAAGCACCAAGGACTGTTTAACACTGAGCTACATATATTCTCTTTTATTGGAAATGTGTTTGTAAAATATCAGAGATAAGTGATATGAGACCAATAACCTTAGCATTTACTTATGATGTACAAGGGACTTACAGGTTTACATCAAAATGCATATGGAGACACACTTTTCTTCAACCTTGTAAAGAATGAAATGACCATGTTTATTAAAAATAATTGAGATGGCACTGAACACAATTCAGCTGACAAAATGTACAACTAGTCTATTTGTGTTGAACTCTAAATACTTAAAGAACTGGCTTTACATGGCAACAGATCACCAGCTGACCATAATAACTAAAATCAAATCACTGTTGTCCCTCCTGCTCACTCATCCTCCCTCTGGTATCTTATTGTACCAGAAGTAATAAATAAACAAGCCTCAACAAGCAATAATTTCAGGGTATGTTGGTGCTGTTGCAAGACCAAATGAAACCAGATGCTGCCAAGAAGATAGGGGAGTAAGTAAATAGTCACTTATATCTTTCAGACATTTCATGATGCATGGAATCTCATATAAAAGTCTCAATCTGGAATGGGCTTTTAAATCAACAAAGTGCTGATTAGGACCTAGGAGGCAAATCTATAGTGTGGCAAAAGACACAACTAGACCTCTTGATCTTGAGCAGAAAGGATCTAACAAACCTGCTGGCCAAAGGAAGAAAGATTTTGGGGTTCTCCAAAATTATTTTTACCCCATTCAGGCTTTGTAGTTTAAAAAAATATGGTTTTTTCTATGTGGAATGGCTAATGTTCAACCCATCTTCAAGCTGTGAAATTTTAAACATAACTACATTGCATCACATAATCTTTGGAAGAATTGGATTCAAACATGATATATACTCTTGACTTAGGTAATTAAATACTTTTAAAAAAATCTGTCCCCCCAATTCTAGTGATTGAATGTAACTGAACCAACTGGGAGGAGGGGTGTTGGTCACACTACCAGTGTGTATCTTCTTCCACTATGCTGGAACCAAACAGTTCTCTACACCAAATTTAAACCCAAATTCACAAATGTGCAGACATGCAAGTGGCATTGAACTATAAAATAGTGAACCACTGACATATGAAATAGACAAAAATGTTACTCATACTTTACCAAATACATGATAGTAGAATGTATCACAAGCAAACACTGCCTGCAATAGTCAAGTATTGTAAATCAGAGGCCAATTCTACAGATACTGATAAAGCAAGTTCCAGATATCTCTCACTAATCTGGCTGAAAAAACTGTGGGTTATAGTTAAACATTATTAGGCAGATCATAGTTTCTCCATCCCTGATGTACATAATTCATCAGCACAAAGGACACTTCAGAGTTTATGAACAGAGCTTTGTATCTTTATATTTGCTCATTAGCCAACATACACATGACAGCCAGCGAGATTAAACAGAATCACATTCAAACACATACTGGAAATAAGCAAAAGAAAAAATTACAGTGAAGGAATTACTGTCTTACCTTTCCTTGCAGTTTATTCTAACGCAAGTGTTTAGCAATGCGGACATAGGCAACTATTAAGAGGGCAAGCAAGCATAATTCTGCTCTTGATAAAACTCATAATCCTGCAACATTTTACAGATGAAAAGGAGGACATTCCTATGGACTATTGCAGCAAACTTCTGTTTTCATCTCACTGATCAGACTGGGGCTTTAAAACAGTCACGCACACTAGAGGCTGTCCTCATTTAATGGGTAAGTTTGCGTCTGCTTGAGTTCTCTTGCTTCATTTATTTCTAACTTTATTTTGTTTTATAAAGTCTGCAGAATTAATTGCAAGCGTTAACTTAAGACGCGCTAACCCGATAGGCATGGATGACGCCGCACGGTTTCGAACAAAATACTTTTGATAAAATACATCAGGGACAAAGTAGTGGGGGTGGGGGGAGCGTGTGAAATATTGCTTCGCCTGAGCGTCCCTTCGGCGCCCGGATACGTGTGGTTAAGGGCGATCCCGGCAAGAAATGACAGCAGGCGCGGAGATCCCGCCTCACCTTGTCTGCAGTCACAATAGCCCCAGTCCACCCTGCCGCGGTTGTTTCGGTAGAAGCACCAGGGCCTGTTCCTGCCGTCCGGGTTTCTGCAAAAGTTGCGCTGCCCGCGCAGCCCTTTGCCCTGCGGCGTCCGGTCCAGGAAGGTGGGCACCTCCGCCCACGGCAAACATCCCGTGCCCAACTCCGTCACATTGACGAAGCGTCCGCCGTTTCTCGGGCAGGCGCCCCCGCCGGCCGGCTGGTGGGGGTGGAACGGCGGGGAGCGCGGCGGCGGCGCCGAGCCCGGACCCCGAGAGGACGGAGAAGCGAAGCGGCTGGCCGCTGAGCTGCCGGCTTCGGGAAGCGGCCCGAGAAACAGAAGCGCCGCGGCCAGAAAGAGACGGGCGAAAGTCATGCTGCCAGCCGCGCGCGGTTTGCTCCATCGCCCCTCAGCTGCGGAGCCCGACCGGGAAGGCGGAGGGCGGAGCCGCGCGCGGCGCCCGCCAAACCTTTCCCACCTCCCGCCGGGTGGACGCGCAGCTCCTCGCCCCCGCCTTCCCTCCCCTCCCGCCCCCCTCGCTCGCAGAGCTCTCGCCGCCCCGCCCCCCCGGCCCTCTTTTGACACCCGTCTTTTTCGCTGCAGCCGAAAAAGAAGTGGCGCTTCACTTTCAGCGCATGGGGCTCTCCATCCCTAAGGCGTCTGCGCTTGAGGGGCGTTGGCAGCACTCCCACCACCACCCAGGCTTGTGCGCGGGGGAAGATGATCCCCCCCCGGCTCAACTCGCGGGGGGGGTACTTTTTATTCAGATTTTCCGGATTGCTTTAGGATTAGATTGAGTGAACTGTGGGCGAGCCCTATTCGCCTTACATTTGTTGCCTTTCTCTCCCGCTCTTTCCGTTCCCTTTCGCAGCCCAGTTGAGAAGGTTTTCGCAGCTGCCCAGGACCGGTAGAAACTTAGCCGGCACAGTTCTGTTTCTCTGTAACCGCTGCTTTGCGCTCAGAAGAATAAGGGGGGAGGGGAAACACCTCATATTTGCCCGTACCAGGGAGGCTGGCGTCCTACCCTCTGTTAGCCCAGCCACCCTTTCTCTTAAAATCATTACGCGGTTTGGGAAATGCGATTGAGATAATTTGTCTGTGGAGATTCTCAGCCCTCCAGATCATGGTTGTCCCAGAGGTGCTTTTTTTTTCAAGAGGCAAGTGGACTTTCTGGTTTTTTCTTTGAAGACATTTCGCTTCTCATTCGCACAAGAAGCTGAAGAAGCGGAACGTCTTCAAAGAAAAACCCGAAAGTTCACTTGCCTCTTCAAAAAGCACTTTTGGGACACTGGGAAGGTTAGGTACGGAGCGTACCTAAGAGAGGAAGCAAATGCATTGCACACACGCTCAGTGACTAGGCGTCGTGAACCCGGCAGCGGAGCAGAAATGAGGTCCTTCTGAGGACTCTTTGGGCCCCCGCTGAAGCCGAGGGTGAAAGGCAACAAACACAGAAGCCGAGGGGAGAATGTGCGTGGCCTCCGGGGATACTAGCTGGCGCCACACGAACTTGGAATTGGGGCGCCAGCGCGCCGCGAACCGGCAAAAGCGGCGCGTGTTTCAGTTCCTTAGAAGCTGCATTTTTGGCACACGACAGGCAGGATTCATTCTCTGATGCAGCGAGAACTTTTCGCGGCAACCGATCTAGGAGCGTTGCGGGTTTTTGCCAGCGGGGCCCTCCCCGCTTGTGCCAAAGGTTTTTTTTTTTTCTTCCAAGAACTAGCCCGACTTTCTGGGTTTTCTTTGAAGACGTTTCCCTTCTCATCCAAGAAGCTGCTTCGGCTCTGGCTGGTTGTTGTGGTATGGAAGCATTTATATTCCTTGGAGAAAGCTAGTCATTTGCATCAGTGGTGGGATTCAAATTTTTTTACTACCGTTCTGTGGGCATGGCTTGGTAGGCGTGGTGGGCATGGCAGGGGAAGGATACTGCAAAATCCCCCTTCCCTCCCAAGCAGCTGGGACCAGGGAGGCAGAGAATGGATGGGATGGGGCCAGTCAAAGGTGGTATTTACCGGTTTTCCAGAACTGTGCAGAACCTGCTAAACACTATCTCTGATTTGCATTCGTTGAGGCCACTCGGGGGTTTGTCTGTGTCCTCAGGGTCACCTGAGTAGTGCAAATGGGTGTTGATTCCTTCTTGGAACTGTTGAAAGGACTGTGTTGTAGACTTGAGATAGGTGATATATCCCTCCTCCCTCTGTTGAGAGAGGGTTGTTCAATTTTGACATAG